CTGGAGAGAGTACTTAAACTTGTTTTCATTCCCTTATTCTTTATTTTTTTTAATGTCCACTCTCTCTGGAACTGGTAATGTTCCTCCTCTTTTTTTTCTTCTCCCATTTTGTGTTAATTCTCTACCATCTGCCTTAGCATCTGTTAAAAATAAAATTTCCCTCACAATGAAAAGGCCTCCTAGCTTCTTCATTCTAGCCACTGCCCCTCCTCTCCTTCACTGTCCCAGTCCGAGCCTGGCAATTGTAAGTTCAGATGCACTCATTACCTCACTTTAAATAGGAATCATATTGCAGGATTCTACAAATAAAACTATGCACCTTTGTGCATAGGTTTCCACGGTGTGAAAATGTGGTATGTGTAATATATTTATATATATATATATATATATATACATAAAATGAATGTATAGCAAAATATTACTGTAGATTCTATAATCAATAACACATATACAATATATGATATATCTGCTTTACTATACACATAAAACAATATTGTTACCGATAGCAAAACATCAGAGTTCCTCTTTAATCATTTTCATAACCTAAACTTGCTGGTATTTGTATATTGCTGTTAAACATTTTCCTATCATATTTTGTTAACACTTTCATGTCTGTACCTTTCCATTGCCACTAGTATTGCCCTCAGTAAAGTGCCGGGTTTACTTACAAAAATGTAAACTATAGTGTACCTAAAGAATGTGCAGAGGAAGTAAGTGCCAGAGCTGGGAGCTGGATCAGCCACAAGGCAACCTAGGCAGGAGCCTATGGCCCCATGGATGTCCAGGAGGCCTGGCTAAAACATTCATGCTCCTATTGTCAACCGGGGGATAGTGCAACTGGATACAATTGTGCACTTGAATGACATATCACAAAAGAGAGTGTACTTGTAGGCAAATGGTGTCTTATGGGGAGGAACTACAAAAGTGGGGTGGCTTTGTGTATTGCAATTCTTGTTAATTAAAGGGATGGTGAGGGAGAAAAGATTTTACCTTGTACTCCCATGGATTTGGACTCCCAAAGCCAGCACAGTGCAATGCACATTTATAAAGTACCCCTTGGTGTTCCTGCAGCTTGAGAGTCAATGAACTTGCAGCTCCTTGACATGCAAATACTAGCACATGTGGCTTTTTAACATAATAGGGGTGGTTTGAAAACTGCTAAAAAAGGGGGAACCCTCAGCTATAGCTATAGCATTCAATTGTACTGGTTGTTGAGCTCTTCGACTTAAATTCTGTAATATCAGCCTTGTTACCAGAATTTGAGCCACCATACAGATATTTTTTAAAAAACGTATTAGTTGTTCATTATGAGTCAAAGAAAAAACTGCTGTGTTTCTTTTGCTTTTCGATGTGTATATATATATATATATATATATATATATATATATATATATATATATATATTATGTTTTGAGTTGCATGAGTTATTTTCTCTACCTGCTAGTCATGTAAAAAAAATTTATTTTACAAATAACCATTTTAAAACAGAATGCAACCATGGCAATGGTGTCACGAAGAACTGGGGGTGTTCTTTTAGAACAGGAAAAGCAAATTTCTTTGTGACTGTCACTATTTAATTGAAATTCTATGCAACCCATATGCACAAAGTCAGCAGAGAGATAAGTCAACTCTTCTAATGTATTTTTGCATGTAAATTCTGAGCTTGGGCTATTGAGCTCTGTAAATATATTTTTTGAAAGACAGTTTACCTGGGTAAACTTGGGAAAATAAGCAAGAGTTTAATTTTCTGACCTGAAGAGTTATAAGAAAGAGGGAGAGAAAGAAAGAAAGAAAGAGAGGGAGAGAGAGAACAACACAAAGAGAGAGAGAGGGGGGGGGGAGAGGGGGAGAGAAAGAGAGAGAGAGGGAGGGAGAAATGGAGAGAGAGAGATAGGGCGAGAAAGAGAGAGAATGAAAAGAGAGAGAGTAGAGAAAGAGAGGGAGAGAGGGAAATAGAGGGAGAAAAAGAAAGAAAGAAAAATTCCTTTTTGTTATTTCTTTTATGAAACAAATTGTAATTAACAGAATACCGGTAATATACTGTGACACATTACATGCAATAAATGAATTGGTTAGCAATTGATGCAATCACAAGAACATGAAAACTCCCATCAGATAGTGTTCTGGCTGGGACTCATACCCCAGAGCTGCAAGAGCAGAGGTGCTAATAACAAAGCCCTTGCACTTCCCAAACAGTCAATTATATAAATATCTGCACATTTGCATCATCAACATTATGTCAGTATACCTGCAAAAAGTGCAAATTAATACACAGTGTTACTAAGTTATATATACGGTAACTGGAATTATTATTATTATACAGGATTTATATAGCGCCAACAGTTTGCTCAGCGCTTTACAATATAACGGGAGACAATACAGCAACAATACAGTTCAATACAAGAGGGTAAGGAGGGCCCTGCTCCTTGGAGCTTACAATCTAGGAGAATTAGTTTATTAGTTTCTTATTTGTGTATCATAAGTGTATCATTTTATTTTTCTTCAGTTCCACAGATTTAAATAGCATTGCTTGCTTTTATTTTATTAGCATAATTTCCTGTTACTGATTTTCATTTACTATTTATTTTTCTTTATGGTATTAACCAATTGTTGCCAATCTTCTGATCAGCATGGCAATTGTACAGTAATATAATACATCGTGTATCATTCATTGCTTTCTTTTATATGAAGGATTTAACTGGCATGACGTGATAGTGAAGACTAATGAAGCAGCACACTTTAGGCTGTAAACTTTATTGACAGGTGTTTGTGTTGCTTTTTTGCATGTGTGCACTGCAAAGACCATATGTGCAGGGGTCAGGAGAGGGTGAGTAATGTAGGGTGAAAGGTGACAAGCGTCTAGAAAGAAAGGATTAAAAGAGGAAAGTTATTCCTTCCGGTTCCCATTTCCTATCTTGCTGCTCTTCCAATGTCCAAATTCAGCCTGAGCAGAGAGCCTGTGAATCTGTCTGCTAACAAAGCCTTGATCTGACTTTGATAAAAAAAAAAGAAAAAAAAGAAAAAAAAAAGAAAGCTCTCCACCACTTTTCTCTCTGAGCTTGCTCACCAGACTCTCTGTTACTTTCTTCCATTCTCTTTGAGTTTGCCGACAAAAGTCAGGCCTGCCACGGTGCCCATCACAGGCCAACCAGTCAAACAAAGCCCCGCAGAGCTTACAGGAATTCTTCAGAAGGCTTGTGGTTGCTGAGGAGAGGACTGGGACCCTTGTCACTACAAACGCCATCTCACTACCTCGGCCTCTATTCTCCTGACTCATGTTTGACAGACACTGAGGCACAATAATCTTTCCCTCTTCCCTGAGGGGGTCAACAGCATTTGTGAAACAGATTTTTACAAACTGATTTGACCCTTTCAAGCCCTTTCGAGCCCCCCGCCTTTCATCCCAGATCACTGGCTGTATCAATGTCACATAATTAAATCAGCCTTCTTATTTCCCTCTGCTTCCTGCTAATTGTTTGCTCACAGCTAGGATTAGTGGGAGACAGAAAGGAAGAAATAAGTTGCTGTCCATGTACAACTAGGAAGATTATAAGTAAAGGTGCTAGGATGTAGAAGTTTGTTTAAACATCAGATAGATAGATAGATAGATAGATAGATAGATAGATAGATAGACAGATAGATAAATTTAGTTGAATAAACAACATCAATGGCTCTTTTTACATGCAGATTGAAATAATCTCAAGCCTTTAGAAACAAATAGTGGAAAATTACACACATTGGAAGAAAATAAAGCAAGACTCCAGTGTTGCAGAGCATCCCAAAATATGGAAGAAATTAGCACAGCACCACTGAGTAACTTGGAAGGTCAGCTATAGTTAAATATGCATAAACGTTCATAGAATTGATAGCAATTGACACTGTGCTGTCTGGCTGCCCCTAAGAATTCGGTATGTGGGCTGCACTCTTACTCAATGAGCCACTTCAGCACTAATCCTCACAATGGTTACATATAAAAGTGAGATATTCTATAATCTTAGTGACAGGTTCTCTTTAAAGGGGAATGCATAGTGATTTCATACATAGTTTCTGTATGTAATATAGCCAGGGCTAAAGAAATAAAAGGGTTAATATATAAATATGTATACCTACAATATCTATGTATATGTATATTATATTGATATATACAGTATTTTTTAAAATCAGGTATAAATGAAATATTACATATTGATATAATGTAGTCTTTCATCCAGCCAGTAGGTTAGGTTCTGGTTTCACATTTATACATGATGCATGGTATCATCTCAGTTGTGCTAAAAGAAGCTGGACATTTAAAAAAATGAAGTAAGTCACCAGAACAGTAACTGATCCTTTAAATGTTTCTATCAAACAAAAGGAGCTGCAAAGCAAGCTATTCTGCAGTGATGTCTGTTTAACCATTTTGATTTGGAAATCCTTTGCCATGTATCAAATATTTATTTGCAAAATAAAATGATGAAATATAGTCAGTTAAAAAAACAGATACACAACAACAGACTTGAAGCTCAAAAAATTGACCCATTATATTTGCTTTCAAGATGTTGGCATTACAGATGAATTTTTGAATGCTCACAAGATTTTATGTAGGACTGGACTGACATACAGAAGGCATGCACTGACATTTTATAGTACCTATGAGTTGATTCATTGTAGTTTTTTTTTCTAACTATAGGTATATTTTTATAAGTTACAGACTGCAATATGTACATTAATACTACTAATACTATTAGTGCATTAATAATAATACTTTTAAATATCAGTACCCAATTAAGGAAAACAATGTAGTTAGGACACATCCCCTTTTTGTTTAACCTCCCTAGCGGTCTGATTATTTCAGATTTTTGGTGCTGAAATCGGCATTTCTCTCCTCTCGAGCTGTCACGCTGACAGCTCGAGAGGAGAGGAGAGCCGGTAATCGGCTTTCCGCGGAGGGGACATGTACAGTGATCAGTGTGCCCTGATGATTAGTGTGGCCCCAGAAGTGCCACCTGTCAATGCTCATCAGTGCCAGTGCCCATCAGTGCCACGTGCCAGTGCCCATCAGTGCCACATCAATGCCACATATCAGTGCATACCAGTGCACATCAATGCCACATATCAGTGCCCATCTGAGCTGCCTTTCAATGTCACCCATCAGTGCCAGTCAGTGCCACCTATCAATGCCAATCAGTGCCACCTATCAGTGCTGTCAATCAGTGCCACCTATCAGTGCCAGTCAGTGTCGCCTATCATTGCCAGTCAGTGCCGCCTATCAGTGCCAGTCTGTGCCACCTAACAGTGCCAGTCAGTGCTGCCTAACAGTGCCAGTCAGTGTCGCCTATCAGTGCTGCCTATCAGTGCTGCCTATCAGTGCCATATATCAGTGTAATGTATCAGTGTCATGTATCAGTGCTGCCTTTCAGTGCCTATCAGTGATGCCTGTCAATGCCCATCAGTGCAACCTACCAGTGCCTCCTCATCAGTGCCCATCAGTGCCACCTATCAGTGTCCATCAGTACAGCCTATCAGTGCCCATCACTGCAGCCTCATTAGCGCACATCAGTGAAGGAGAAAAATCACTTATTTACAAAATTATATAACAAAAACTAAGAAAAAATGTTTTTTTTTTTTCAAAATTTTCAGTGGTTTTTGGTTTGTTTAAGAAAAAATAAAAATCCCAGAGGTGATTAAATACCACCAAAAGAAAGCTCTATCTGTCTCAAAAAAATGATAAAAATGTCATATGGGTACAGTGTTGCATGACCACGCAATTGTCATTCAAAATGTGACTGTGCTGAAAGCTGGAAATTGGCCTGGGCAGGGAGGGTGTATAAGTGCCCTGTAGGCTAGTGGTTAAATATATGTGTGTGTTTGAACAGTCATGTCTGTTCCAAATATTGGTAGCTGCGCATGTTTACACTTATTCTTCAAACTCAACATAAGCTATAAGAATAATCATAAAAATTGATGGACATGCGATTCAGTTCGTTTACATTCGTTTTTCTAACGAAAATTGCACTTTCAGAGATTCAGATGCATCCGATTTTCTGAATGGACATAGAAATGAATGTCAACAAACCCGAAAAATAGTTATAAAGAAAAAATAACTAATGCATTTGTTCATTTGTTTTATTCGGATGATGTAATTTTTTAACCCATTTGATAATAATGTAAAGTTAGTGTGAATAGCTGTGGTTGTTAAGGAATGACGGTTGCCATGTCCCTAACAACCATGACTCATCTGCTCTCAGTGGGATTCCCCACTGTCAGCAGAGTGTGAACAAAACAAGTTCCAGGTAAAAAAATAATAATAATAAAAAAAAAACAGCATGGGGGTCTGGTGTGGCTTCTGATGGGAACCCCAACCCAAAATTGTTTTTTTCTTAAATGGCATGGGGGGGAGAGCGCATGCGCGGGCAGCTGGAGCGGATGAAACTTTGACTGCACTGCACCTTCCCAGCACTTGTAGGGGGTAAATTAGCAGCCCCAGCCCATATCTCACCCACAGCTTATCTGGGCTGCTTTCCGAGAGGGAGGAGGTCCCTCTCATGCCGTCTGAAGTGGCCAGAAAAGCCGCGGGAGGATCCCGTGCTGCCATCAGGGGAACAGGAGGGGGAGGCAAGATGGTGTCCGGAGCCAGCTCCCAGGCCTCCTCAGTTGCTGAGGGAGTGCAGCCTCAGCCCCAGCAGACTGTGCCGTCTTCCTCCAGACCCAAGACTCAGTGAGTCAGATCCCCTGGCTCCATGGCTCACGTGAGTGACCTCTCTGCCAGCTCCCCCCCTAGCTCTGCTGATTCCATTTCACAAGCTATGGCCTTATCTCCGGGTCATGATTCCCAAGCTTCTTCCAGCTGGATAGGGAACTGGCAGGCATTTTCCTCAGCCAAACCAGTAGCCAAGATCTAGTCCATGATGGCCCAGTAGATTCTTCTACTTCTCCACCTGTGCCTTCGCATTATTCAGGGGATTCCATCCTTATCGCACGTTTTGCTGATTTACTTCAGAGGGAACTAAATAAAGCTACCACTAAGTTGGCCTCTGATCTGAAACAAGATTTTAAACCCCCTGGGCACAAGTTTCTATTAGAGGATATAGATCCCCTGTGTTTCCAATTCAACATGGCACTAGACAAGGTTGTCCACTTTCCCCATTGCTTTTCGCATTGGCGATAGAACACTTAGCTATGGCAATTCACTCCCTTCCTCAAATACATGGCGTTAGTTGCTGACGACAAGAACATACAGTAAATGTGCCCTATTTGCTGATGATGTCCTTATGTATATTACCTCACCATTGATTTCTGTACCTAATTTACTGTCTCTGTTGTGCCAATTTGCTACTCTTTCTGACTTTGAACTCTCCTGTCAGAATAGGGACTTCCCTAGAGGCTCCACAGTGTATGCTCTCCTCACTGATCTGAATAGTAAACTTCCCTATATGGAGCATTGGGAATGGGACCTGAATGTCCACTATGATCTTTCGGATTGGCAAGATATTGCCCTGGCACTTTGTAAAGTTTCCATCAATACTACCTTAGTGAAGCTAATTATAAAACGTTGTTAAGGTGGTACTTGATTCCTACTTGGATTGCAAGGATGCATCCATCTACTTCAGCTATATGTTTTCTGTGCTGTGGCCAGGTGGGTTCTATGTTTCATATCTGGTAGCAATGTCCGTTGGCAACCAGATTTTGGATTCGCATGTTTAACTTCATTAATTTGGGGTAAATATTTGCAGATCCCTGGAGACGGCCCTCTTTCATTAATTCCCAGATAATGTTCTTAAACAGTCCCATAAATAGATCACCTACATGTTGTTGGCAGCGAGCATTACTATAGCTAGACCTTGGAAGCAATTGATTATCCCACTTGACTTTGTTAAGAGTATATTGAACTGGATTATGATCAATGACAAACTATATTAAATAATAATACCAAAAAATTTGACAAAAAATGGGATCCGTGGATCCATTATATTTCTATGCCTTGGTGTCCCCCACCTTGACCCTCTCCTCTTCTTTTTCTGTGTTTTTTTTTTCTTTTGTCTCTAATTTCTATTACTTTTTATTATATAAATTAGAATAGATCGTACCTATTCATCATATGTTTTATAACTCTTGTCCTGTTTAACATGACAGCTATTCTTTAGGTGCTTCTAGGTTTATGGACAGTGGTACTTTCCCTTCCCCTTCCCACTTCACTTCCTACCTTTCCCTTTCCTGGTTCTTTTCCCAGTCCCCACCCTCTTCCCTTCTCTAACACTGTGCCAGTCTCTCACATGTGTCATTTAAAGAATATGTACCTTTGGTTTAGACTTCCCGATAACTCCTCTACAGAGTTCTTTGTCTCTGGTTACGTGTTTTATGATTGATAAACTTTGTTATTGGAGTCATGTTTTAATATTCCAGTTCTGATGGGACGTTGTGTATTGTATTACTTATTATTTGAAAAATTGTTCAATAAAAACTATTGAAATATAAAATGGCTTGGGGTCCCCCCCAAAATCCATTCCAGATGCTTATCTGAGCATGCAGTCTGGCAGGCCAGGAAAGGGGGGCGAACTAACACCCCCCTCCTGAATCATACCAGGCTACCCCCAAAGCACCTTTTCCCCCTGTTGATGGGGACAAGGGCCTCTTTCCCACAACCCTGAGTGGTGGTTGAGGGGGTCTGCAGGGGGGGTCTTTAACAAGGGGGCCCCAAGATTCCCTTTCCCATGTGAATGAGTATGAAGTACATGGAGTATGGAGTAATAAAGTACTTGTCAAAAACTGACATTGAGTTTTTTACTTTGCACTTTTCTTGGTGAATGAGTAAGGGTACCATGTACCCCATACTTGTTCACATAGGGGGGGTCAGATCTAGAGGCCCCTTGTTAAAGGGATTCCAGACCCCCTCCAGCTCACTCCCACAACTACCGCCCATGGTTTTGGGGAAGAGGCCCTTGTTCCCATCAACTGGGGAATAAGGTGCTTTAGAGGAAGTCCCCCCTTCCCTAAAGCTCCATCTATATTAAGGGCATTTGGCTTGGTATCAGGGCCAGATCTAGCCAGTGTGATGTGGGGGTGCAGTAGAAAATGTCAGGGTGGCAGAGGATGGGAAGTCAAAAGAGGAGCACATGGGAGTCAGTATGGCAGTGTACAGGGGGTTAGCAGGGCAGAGGACAAATAATATGTTCTTAAAGGAGAATTTATCCTTTAAACAGTATAAACACTATGTAACATTGACAATACTAACAATACTCATAAGTAATCTGCCTGGCTTTACTATTAAAAAGTCAAAACATGATATGACAAAATGAGAGCAAGACTAGGATTATGAAAGTCATGGAGCAGCTTGGAACAGAACATAAAAGTTCTACAGCTGGCCAGTAGTGGGTCTTAAATGGGGATTGAACAGAATCTGCGCCTGTTGTATACAATGCACAAATATACCACAGTCCTTGTACCCACAAAATACTGATTAGTGTACCACAACAAATAAATCTCAGGACAAAGGATCAGAAATTAAATGTTTCCATTACATATGTTTTTATGCACACAAAAATGATATATTTGTTTTAGGCACCTTCCGAATTTCGATCCATGTACTGGCAAGCTGGTTGTACAGAAGTCAATCTACCAATCAACCTCTGTACAACCAGCCTTTAGGAAAATCTCCTCTCCATTATCACTGCCAGCTGTGCCCGCAGCAGTGCTCAGTGTATTCTGATGGCAGGGAAGTCTCCCTGCTGTCAGAACATAATACCTCAGCAGGAGTGACTCCCCCATACACCTCAAGTGTGTGGATGGAGGAATCGGATCATTTGTTTTCTTTCAACCTGCTGGTTAAATTTAAAAAAATGACTAATGTATGGGCTGCCTTACTTAGTCTACCTTAAAGTAGAACTTAATTAAAACCAGCAAGACAATGAATACCTATGTTCAACATAATGTATAAAATACAGGAGTCAGGAGCAAGTAAAAAAACAAAACAACATATGGAGTGCAGCAGTCAGGATGAGTGCCATATTTCACATTAGAGTTCTCCCTTACATTAAATTTCCCCATATTCCTCCTACACATCAGAGTCCCCACTTACATCCATGTCTCCAAAGTCCCACCTTATATTACTCAGTGTCCCCTGAGTTCCACCACCTTACATCAGAATCTGCAGAGTCCCCCCTTATAGCAGAGTCCCACCTTACATCAGAATCCAGCAGAGTGCCCCCTTACTTCAGAGCCTGGCAGAATGCCCCCTTATATCAGAATCTGGCATAGTGCCCCCTTATGATAGCTATGAATAAGGTTTTTTACCCAAATGCATAAGCTTCTGTAAGTTGCACACGGTACCCTTCATTATTAAAGTACATTTATTGGGAGAACGAGTTGTTGGCTCTTCACCTTATAC